CCTAGACCCTAAAACCCTAAGACCCTAAACCTAAACCCTAAACACTGAAGCCCTAAAGCCCTAAAGCCCTAAACCTTAAACCATGATGCTCCCTTTAAGGGGTCCTCGCAACAATGTGAAACCGTGATGCAGCGGAGCCCCGGAGCCTCCTAAGAACAGCGACTCGTCCCGAGAGGGCTTAGGGTTTAGGGTTTAGGGTTTTAGGGTTTTAGGGTTTTTAGTTTAGGGTTTTAGGGTTTAGGGTTTAGGGTTTAGGGTTTGCGGTTTAGGGTTTAGGGGCTTGCGGTTCAAGTTGCTTCAAGCCCTGACACTGCAGGCTGGTTTGGGGGCGCTGCATTAGCTCTGTTTCTGAAGTACGACTTAAGGGATACGGCTTTCTAGCAGCGGCCTGCAACCCTACGCCCTTAGACCTGAAGAACCCTTAGGCCTTAGAAGGCTGAAGCCTTAAACCCTGAAGCCCAAAACCCTCTTTAGGGTTTTGGGGTTTAGGGGTTTAGGGGTTTAGGGGTTTAGGGTTTAGGGGTTAGGGGTTTAGGGGTTTAGGGGTTTAGGGGTTTAGGGGTTTAGGGGTTTAGGGTTTAGGGCAAAACCCTCACCATGGAGACCCTAAAACCTTAATTCGAGCGCGGAAGCCCGGAAACTGGCCTCAGGAGGCAAGACATTACATCAACGCCTCCGCCATGGGCAGTGCAAGGTACTTTTATAGGATTTAGGGATTTCGGGACCAGGGTTTGTGTGTGAGGCTGTGGTACTGCGAGGGTGTTGCAATGGTTCTACTCCAAGGTATATTTACATGTTGGTTGGTGCTTGAGCCTGTCTTGAGCTGCAGCTCGCCGCCCACAAGCAAAACCCCTATTGATGTCTCGTCTCGATATATATATATATATATATGATTATATATACACGCACAGAATATTTCACATGTCTGTATCTGTATGTATGTATGTATGTATATGTATATATATATATACATACACGGATTATGCACGCGTACGTATACCTACCTACCTACCTACCTACCTGCCTGCCTGCCTGCCTGCCTGCCTACCTACCTACCTACCTACCTAGTTACCTACCTACATGCATCCATCCATGCATGCATGCATGCATTTATCCTCCGCCCGAATATAGACGAATAGAAGCCTGAATAATAATCTCCAATAATATTCCTGAAAACCCCTTTCGGGGAAGGGGGAGGGCAGGACGGTCGAAAAAAAGGATCTTTCTCCTAGGAGAAAGTTGGTTTTTTGGCCCAAAACCATCTTTTTCCTAGGAAAAATTGGTTTTTCCACCGAAAACCATTTTTTTCCTAGGATAGACTGGAATTTCATACCAACACCAAATTGTTTCTAGCAAAGAGTGTGTGTTTCATTTGTTGTTTGTGCGCGTTACGAATTAGTGTTGCCAATAAGGTTCGAGTGTCATTAAGGGATTCGGTTCCGCTTAGCATTAATACTCTACAATTGGTAATAACCAGTACATTATTCGAACCAGTTTTGGGCTACATAGAGAGCTAGTACTGCANNACAGACCAGGACCCAGGATATCAGGCCACTACTACGATTTCTTCTAGCTGACTACGGTTGTAAATTGAATAAGAGAAACATCGGGGTCAAATTATAGGTGGTACAAGCCTACTATGGATCGCCTTAGGGCTGCTGTAACCATTGACATAAGGGCGACTGACAAGGATAGGGTGAGGGTTGATGTTTTTTGGAATCAGAAGTCAGTTAGCGATCCTCGTCACTATGTTGGTATCTAGTACAGGTTTAACCGTAGGGTTAGCATGTGTACATGCACATAAATGTACATACACGCATACGTGCGAGTCCGACAGCAAATCCGAGATGATCATACACTACATATTACAGTGAGAAAGGGGTGCCATATACAATATGTTGGGGTAACCAAACAAATGCTTGTATCATCCCTACAAATATCTGAGGCCAATGGTCGAGGTTTCTCTTAAAAGCATTATTCGGATTGCTGTGGAAGGATGTATCCTGTGCAGTACGAAGGTTGCCAATGGGAACAGCTTACGTGTAATATTAAGTTTGCAAGTAGGGTCCATCTTGGAGTCAGATCCAATATTCGCGTTGCCTCGAGGACTGCAATATCCTTACTATCGGGGGGCCAATCAGGCTGATGTATGTTATTGTATATACCTTCAGGTCGATATGGGAGCAAATATTGGGATGTATAATGGCGGTTCAGTCGACATAGCATTTTCATCCATACGAACCACGAC